GCCATTTAGGTGAACTACGTTCGGCTTGATTCCTTGGGCAAGAGGATACGTAGGCAGTCTTTCAGATGCAGCCAGTTTGATCAGTTGTTTCAGATGGGGGGAGAGCGCGTTTCAGCTCGAGTATTGTTCCTGGACTTGTTGAGGAACTATTGGATGATTTGGTATCGGCTCAGTTTTGGTGGAAACATTCGCCGAGGTGGAGAATTGAAGAAATTACAGAAACTCAGAAGAATCAGTCAAACCAGGCGGCGGTCGACCGGTCCGGTCGACCGAATTCGTGCACAAGCTGGTCGGTCGGACGAATTTGAGCAGCCAAAGAGAGAGAATCATTGCATCCAATTGTGAGAGAGCTTTGAGAGATCTAGAGCTTTGTTTTAGGGTTTGGTCTGAGAGATTTGTAACCCTATTTGTATTCTCTTGATTTCTAGTGGAAGAACTCCCCCCTCCTTGCCCCGTGGACGTAGGCAACTTGCCGAACCACGTAAATTGTGTGTTCTTGTTGTGATTGTGGTTTGCATATTGTTTGTGGTTTAGTTCTAGTTATTGTTCGTGTTGCCCTAGAAAGCTTCCGCCGCGCACAACACTCGGTTTGATCTCAAGAAAGAAGAATGGTCAGTTCTCCCGATACCTGGCTCAAGATACTCCTCGCAATATTCCCGTGACAGAGAATGGAAGTTTTATCTGAATCAGATCAGCGGACTGTTACCTGTCGAATGCGTAGGGAAAACAAAGGTCGACGTGTGGGTAAAGACATATAGCATTGATTTCCGCGGTCCTTTTTGGTTCAGCGTCGCGGGAGCGGAGGAAGACGGGAAAGATTACTGCTGAAAAGGTTAGACGGCAAGTTGCAGGTTTACTACGCGAAAAAGAAACGGGTTGAACAGACGATCTTCAGCGGGAAGAGAAGCTGATCGAGTCAGCTCCTACGTACGTAGAAAGACTGATGACTTTGGACGATGAAAGTTTCAAGTCTTTGAAAGAGCAAGATTTAATTTAGCACTCTTATCAGCTTTTTGCGGTAAAATGAACACAATCTATATATGTACCCCTTACAAATACAGTCACTCTGGGAATTAACGCGGGTGATTCGAGCTTGAGCTTGCATTCCAATATCAGCGGCATGATTCCTGTAGTATCTCGACGATTTTATCTTTGCTTTAGAAGGATTATATTCTGAAATGAGTCGCGCGCCGGAAGTTACGTTGGTAGACACACAGAGTTACCTGAAGTACGTGGAATCAGATGAACAAAATCATGTACCTTAGAATCAGCATTTGGCAAATCAGATGTTTGCGTTTCTTCGCAATCCGGTGAGCTGCTGAATCGAAAACAGAATCAAAATTTCATCAACTAAAGAGGGCCGAAAAGAATTCGACGAGTAATTTATAATGGAGACCGACAGGTAGTAGGATGATCAGCTAGTCACTCTAGAAAGATTCACAGATCACAGTAATCTTTCGCCTTGGGATTTCGTCGAACAGGGTGGTACGCGTACTCGAAGTTGTTGGCCGATGGGTAGTAATCTTTCGCCTTGGGATTTCGTCGAACAGGGTGGTACGCGTACTCGAAGTTGTTGGCCGATGGGTAGTAGTTGTGGAGTTTGGAGCTGGATTGAGAGAGGGGGGTAGCAAAGGAGAAGATAGGATGGTGGCAGGAAGCAAATTGAACAAGGTTGAAGTTTTGAGGAGGGAGAGATTTTGTTGTTTTGGTGATTGAGAAGGCATTTTTGTTTGCAATTGAATTAGGGAGGGAAATTTATGGTTGACAATTACCAAAGTTTGAGGTAAACATGTTGGATTTTTTTTTTTGGAAACGGCGAGTACAAAGATAATGTGTACAAGTTCAGAGTGATATTGCATTATATGACAGTGTAAGATGCTACCAAACATTCATAAATCACATAATCCCAGAGTTTGGTTAATTCAAACAGTAAAAAATAGTTTACGAATAAATCACCATAATAAATACTACTTCCAAGCATCATATTGGCTTATATAAAGCTATATTTGATATGAAAGATGATAAATCACCTGGTCCTGATGGTTTTTCGGCTATCTTCTTTCAGGAATTTTGGGAGACTGTGAAAGTTGATATTATGAGATTGTTTGAAGAATTTTATGAAGGAAAATTGGAAATAAATAGACTCAACTATGCTCATATTGTTCTTATTCCAAAAAAGAATGAGGCCACAACAGTTAATGATTACAGACCTATCAGTTTACTTAATGTGGTTTACAAAATAATTACAAAAGTGTTGACTAACAGATTGAATCCCAAGCTGGAACTTCTTATTGATCCTGTTCAGTCAGGTTTTATAAAAAACAGATTTCTGATTGATGGTGTAGCTGCTGCTCAGGAAATTATTAATGATTGTTTTCAAAATAATAGAAAAGGAGGAATACTTTTAAAGTTAGATTTTGTGAAAGCTTATGATATGCTAGACTGGAACTTTCTTTTAGATGTTTTGAAGGCAAAAAAATTTGGAAGTAAATGGATAAATTGGGTGAATGTATGCCTAAAAGGAGGTATGTCAGCTATTAACACAAATGGGAAAATTGGTAGTTGGATTATGTCTAAAAGAGGAGTTAGACAAGGTGATCCTTTTATCTCCTCTTTTGTTTGTTTTGGCAGCTGATGCTTTTACCAATATGTTGAATTTAGCAGCTGAAGCATCTCTTATAGAAGGTTTGGGTCCTATTAATATGCCCCAGAAGGTTTGCTGCCTTCAATATGCCGATGATACTTTAGTTTTCTGTAAAAACAAAAGAGAGCAGCTGACAGTTTTGAAACTGATCTTATACTGTTTTGAATTAGCATCTGGATTAAAAATTAACTTTAACAAGAGTTTGCTCTTGCTCTTGAAGATAATGAGATCTTGCAGCATAATCTGGCTGGCATGTTAAATTGTAAAAGTGGTAGTTTTCCTATCACATATCTTGGGGTTCCTTTGAGGCCTGGAAAATTAAAAAAAGAGGATTGGTCTCCTATTATTGATAAGTTTGAAAGAAGATTGTCCTTATGGAAAGGAAAGTCTTTATCAAGGGGAGGAAGATTAGTGCTTGTTAATGCAGTTCTTTCCTCTATGCCTATATTTTGGATGTCTTTTTTCTTATTTCCAGGGTGGCTTATTGATAGAATAGATGTGATGAGGAGAAGATTTTTATGGACTGGTTCTTTGGAACATAAAAATTCATCTAATTTGGTTAAATGGGAAGAGATTTGCAGACCCAAAAAGATAGGTGGCTTGGGTATCATAAATTTGAGAACTATGAATAAAGCCTTGTTGGGAAAATGGATTTGGAAATGGTGTGATGATAAGATGGATCTATGGAAAAAAATAAGTTTCGACAAGTATTTTGAAAATAAAAACTGGTCAGATTATTTCTGTTCTGACAAAAGATCCCTATCCCATTTCTGGAGGAATATTTTTATTAATGTTGATAGCTTTTTATGCAGTACTTGTGTAGATGTGGGGAATGGAAATAATACTCTTTATTGGCTTGATAAATGGACAGGTGCAAATACTCTGGCTTCTATGTTTCCTTCTCTTTATAGCATTGCATCATTCCCTTATGCTACTATTACCAGTTTGAGGAAAAAACTAAATAATGATTGGATTTGGGATATTAAATTTCAAAAACAGTTGACAGGAAATCTGGTTTTTCAATATTATGATATGTTGAACAGTATTATGCTTATTAATTTTGTTCACAGGGAGGATAAGAGAAAGTGGATTTGGGAAGCAAAAGACAAGTTTACTGTTAAATCATATTATAATTTTCTTATTGATGGAGGCTCAAGGTATGATTGCTTAAATCTTTGGAAGCTTTCTGTTCCTCTAAAAGTGAAATTTCTGGTCTGGTTGGCTTTGAGAAGTGGTTTAAACACGAAAAAGAATTTAGTTAAGAAGGGTGTTCACATGGATGTGTTGTGTTGTTTTTGTTCCAAGGAGGAGGAAAATCACCTTCATCTTTTTGTTAACTGTGAGTTTGTATACTCTATTTGGAGATCTATTCAATTTAAATTGAATATCAGGAAGGATTTCAAGTTATCTTCCTTAAAAGATATTTGGAAGAAATGGAGTGTTGAGAAGTATGATAGTGAGAACATAGAGAGAGATGTGATTCTTTGTTCTCTTATTTGGTGTATTTGGCAGGAAAGAAATGATAGAATTTTTTCAAATAAGAAAAGGAGATCATTAGAACTTTTGAACAAAATTTTGACTTTTGCAAAATTTTGGATAGGTTCTCAGATAACAGATCGTTCAGCTAGACTACAAGAGAGGAGGAGGAAAAAAGCTGCTGCTGTTGCTTCTGTAGCTGGAATTACTTCAGTTTCCACAGCTGGGGGGGTGATTGATCTGCTGGAATGAAGACTAAGCTGAAGAAAGAGATCTGCTTTTGTGGTTTAAATATGAAAAAATGTACATTTGTTGATCTTTTGATATAGTTTTTGATATTTTGTTATCAATTGCTAGGGGGTGAAGAGTTTGAGTGAAGCTGACTGTAAAACTCTGATAATCCAGGGTATTCATTCTTGGTTGGGGATGAATACTTTTTTTGTAACAACCAATTTTGTTTAATTTAGCTGGCTGGATTACTATGTTGGTAATCCATCCTTTTTCTCAAAAAAAAATATTGGCTTATATAAACTCCTTTTATTTCATTCATCTCTGAACTCAATGTCTAATGTCAAAAGATAATAAGCGATAAAACCAACTATATGTTTTTTTAAGAGTAAATCAAGGATGTACATTAACAGCAGTACAAATTCACCAAAATCCTTCATGGAAAAATCACAGACAGTTTCTCTGTACAACCTTTTGATCCTCATTTAACAGAAAAAAGATGAGCAGAAATTAAAATTAAAATAAAATTCAGCCAACTGACAACAGTATCATCACTCGTTCACAGCTGACGCATTGAAATTCACTCCTGCTACAAGCCCAAATATATTTTTTTAAGGAATCAATAGTATGTTTAATAGCTAGTAATTCTTTATCATAAGTTGCAATAATTTTTCTCTAGACCTTTAAATTTTCCAGAGCAACTGACAACAGTATCATCAGACGTTCACAGTTGACACATTAAAATTCACTCTTGATACAAGCCCAAAACATAATAATTAAGAAATTTCAAGGGTAACCATTAGGAGATGCTTGGCATAAACCGGTCTAATCTAATACAACAAGTGCACCATATAAAAAACAAGATCTAACATCAAAACATCAACTTTCATCGATACCAGAATGAAGGACCACCAAAAGAGTACCGGGATGAAACTGACAAAGATCCATAATCTCCTCTTTCATGAGATTGCTGATGACTCCTGTTGTATTCCGAAAGCGCATTTGCTGCGTGTGTTGAATGCAATTTACTGGCCTCAGCCTCATTCCTTAGTTCACCATATGAGTAACTATGATAGTAATTTGGTTGAGTTGCGGCTTCTTCAGCTACTGGCCTTTTATACTCACTTTCATCCAATTTGCTTAGATATGGAGCTTTCGTAAGAGGAGCGTATCGATCATAAGTATCCCTATTTGCCTGGGAATGATCTGAAACCTCAGCTGGAATTGGCATTGATGTTGGTGCTATTATTATAGGTCTTCGAAGGCCAAACATCCTATACTCTTCCACAGTGAAACAAAGAGGATCAAGTGTTTCTATTTGACCTCTTGCTAATATATCTGAATGTGGCGGTGCTTCTGCTGTTGGTATTAAAGGTCTAAGTGGAATGAGAGGAGCAGGAACTGATTGAGAATTAATATGAGAAGGTTGAAATAAGCTGGTAAGTTTTTTCACCTGTATAACATCATATGGCAGAGAAACAAAATCACATTGGTATACAGCAAACGGATCACTAAAGGAATGCTCAGAGAGTAAAGTGGAAATTTAATTTGACTTAAGCCTGAGAGCTTTGTCGGTTCGCACACAAATCCCCCCCCCAACTTCCAAATTCATGGGGGTTACGTGAAATAAACAATATTCAGTGGGGTTATGTACAAAACCCCTCAAGCTCAGGTGGTTTAAGTTGAAATTTAACTCAAAACCCCTCAAGCTCAGGTGGTTTAAGTTGAAATTTAACTCAATAATAATGTTAGGATAAAATTACTCACTTGCTTGGTGGTGAGTTCTGAGTCAAACTTAATCTTATCGCCACCAGAATTGCCCATGATTGCCTTCTTGAAGGTTACCTCTGAAATAGGCACACATTCCATGTGAACCTTGAAACGAACCTGGTAAAAGTTTCAAATTTGTTACAAGTTTAGGAGCCACAAATTTATGTAGAAATTAAAAGTCATAAGAAAAATGGACAGCTATAATGACTTCCAGATTGGAAAAGGAAAACATGAAATTCTGCAATATTTAAAGTAGCACCTGTGCAGGATAGGACCCACCAAAGGCAGCTGGCTCAAGTTTTACTCCTCCTGCTGATGTTGCTTCATAAATCCCATATAAAAGCTTCGCATCAAAATCATAGAGGAAGAGCTTGAAACCAGGCTTGATCTTAACCACAGTATCTCTCTTGCCGTGTGGAAGACCCATGACCATGTAGCTGAAACAATCTGATTTGGTCTTAGCATTGCACATGAATATCATCCCATCAATTTTCTCTTGGTCCTCTACCTGGTTATATCCCTTTCCTTTTTATTCTTTTCTTGGTTTTTATCTACATTTTTGGCCTTGTGAGGATTTCTTTCGCTGCTCTGATTAGGTGTTTTCTTTACAATTTTGGTTTCAGGCTTCAACGCTTTTGGAGTTTTTGTCTCCGATCGTGATTGTTTTGATGCTTCTGCATTAGCAGCATCCCCAGTCCTCTTAATCCTTTCTCTGACCATCACAAAAACCTGCTCCCAGGAATCTCTGGCTACAGCATCCCCAGTCCTCTTAATCCTTTCTCTGACCATCACAAAAACCTGCTCCCAGGAATCTCTGGCTATGGGATCTTTCCTGCAATCAAGCAAGAGCAGAAAATTACTCTTTTCTGGATGTTCATCACAGACTAAATCATTTAACCTTCACCAAAAAGCCAGAACAGTCGAGTTGCCAACAGCAATTCTTATGAAATAAAGCACAACAGCCACGGGGTCAGACGTACAAACTCCTTGCTTGGTAACTTTTAAGTATATCATACATTGTAAAAGGAAAAAACAGCAGAAGAACCACGCCTTCATGTTGCAGCATTGGAGGAGCTAAGTATGACAATCTTCTTAAGCATCACATTAGGAGGTCAAAAGGAGAACTTGAAACAAATGTGCACATAAATATGAAGTTAATGGTTAATTCAGTTTGAGGTCATCTCGAACAATCAAGCATATACCTTATTGTGAATTACCACTAACTGTGGACATGAATTACCACTGACCTTAGCAATTGCCAAACTACACCTCCCTCTCAGCTTGCTAAGAAACTCTTTGAAGCTCTTCCACCCACACACACACACACACACACACAAAAAGAAAAAAAAAGAATCCATCATTGACTGTTGTTTGTTGGTGGGACAGAATTTTATTAATTCTCAGTTAACAACGTCATCCAACACAAATATCAGATTATCAGTTACTTTTATCTAAGCTTTATATAACTACTATGTAATAGGCTGCAAAGAATGTAGTTAGCAGTGGATCCATATACCTTAAGACACCGTGACCTGCCTTATGCCTGCTACTGTTACAATTTACAACCTTCAAATTGCAGTTTAATGTTTTTTCCCTTGATTATCAAACAAAAGTGAGAATTGTTCAACCACATGTGAGCTTAAGGTAAAGAACAAGCAACTAGATAAAGCCGACAAATTTCAAAGGTCTAAAGAGATCAAGAGTATAGCCACATGTGACTCAAACTGCATCTAAACCACATAAACAGGAATATAAAAAAACTAACATATTGATTAACAGGATAATCATAATGGTTTTCTCAGTCATCTGGACATAACACACATGCACCAAAGTGATGGAATCAAAGAATAATTGAACATAGGTCATCAAAATTATTTTATCATATTTTCAAACATTGGTAGCGAGATGGAACAAAAATGATGGAGCCTGAAAATTTATAATGAAATATTAATACCCTCCAACAACCAACCTAGATGACTGACTATACAACTAGATTTTAAATATCCTTCCTTTTGCATTTTCATAAAAAAATGATCCTAACCCAAATTTGAACCTAAAACCTCAAGTAATCCAACCCCATCTACCACCAAGTCAAGCCTCAATGGACATTTTACAGGATTGGTTCCCCGCAAAACAACTATAATATGGCACTAAAACTCAAGGTTTTAAATATCAGCCAATAAATCAAAATTATCGACAATTTATCGGTTTTGGGGCCCTTCTGACATAAAAAGTTCAAATTTTAATCGGTTTGTCGTTTGTGGGGGGGGGGGGGGTAATTATCGGCGAAAAAAGTGGCGATAAGCAATAAATCAGCCGAGTTTAACGTAAAAATTATCGGAATTATCTGTTAGTGATCTTAAAACATTGTGTACCTTAACATTTGCTTAGCGCGATCTTAAATATGCTGCATTTAATTTTAGTATGTTTATATTTCATTAAGTTTCTACAGTGGTTTATTTATCTTGTCAATTTGCTTGTATTTTATTCTAAATTAGTATATTTAGACATTAGTATTATCGCATGCACGCCCTTCAATATGACACTGATAAATACTAATTAAAATCCGCCGATTTCTGCCTATCCGATATGGATTTGACCTCCAGACAAATCCCGATTATATGATGTTTGAAACGCTGCTAAAACTATTAACACCATTTAAAACATTCCTCTTCCGTCTTTATTTCATCATTTGTTATCTCTTGTTCGTCTCATATAACGCGTAGGCTATTTCATTTATGCAAAATTCGATTGGGGCAAAAGCAAATACTGGATAAACTACATCCCCCCCCATAAACTGATCAGGCCAAATCTTTCTTTTCTCCTAAAACCCTAACAGTTCTTCCCGTTCCAATTAACCCAAATCTCAACAGCACAACAATTCCCAATCACATTATCTCAGTGCAAGGATGCAACTCACAAAAGATTCAAAATTTGATAACGTTGGAGAAGCCAAATGCCAAATCTTCCAGTACAGTACATTAATAATCTGAAGGGTTTAGAGCAAAATATCAAAGATTAGAAATCATCAAAAAACCAAAGCACAGTTTTCTAGCCCGATCGATACTTCATGATTACCACCTCAGATGGTAATCTCCTACAGAATTTGCGTACCAAAATCCATTACTGAAGATTTAGAAACCTAGATCTCAAATCCGGCGCATTGGGAAAGTAGCTGTAGGGAGAAGAGCGAGGACAACGATGCAGAGAGAGACGGAGCGGATGTAGTCAGCGGCCTCGTCCCTAAT